GGAAAGCTGTGAATGTTTTCTCTCTGTTGCCACACAAGCTAAAGTTATTGTTGAAGATATTACCAACAGTTACCTGTTTGAGATCTTTAAGAGACACGAAGGAATGGGTGACCCAGAGAAGAAAGTATGCAATGAAGAAGGAGAGCACCAACAAGAAGCCAGTGGAAACATGGGGTACAGATTGTTGCCAGAAGAATGGAACCATTTACAAGCGAGAGGACAGTCTCCCGACCAGTGGGGAGGAGGGGGGCGTGGGAATTGTCCCTCGACCCTTCTGAGTTCTTGCCTGAGACACCCTGTAATAAAAGACAAATTAATAGGAGAAAAATTTATTAACATATATGCCTCATGTATACATGGGAGATATCCAGGAAAACTGAATAAAACTGCCCAAGCCACCATCTTAAACACTATCTTCAGCTAAAGACAAAAAAAAAAAAAAAAAAGGTGTTAGGGGTGAGGAGGTGAAAGGAGTAATTCATGGAAAGGTAAGAAGAGGAAACAACAGTGGCCCTGCCATGCTGATAAGTCTCTCAGGGGAAAAACTGATTGCTGATAATAACTCACTTCCTGAGAGAAGCCCTCTTTCTAATGTAAATTTCCCTTATGAAAAGGTAACTTCTTTGTTTTCAGAGCTTCTCCTGTGTCTGCAGTTTCTCAAAATAATCGGTTCAAAATAAGACTTTCCCCAAGAGGCATATTTTGAGGTGGCACATTCTGCTGCCCTTCACCAGCTTTCTTCCCAGGGCTCATAGCTTTTCTTAGGAAGAAGAAAAATTTTTTTTTTGCTTTGAAAACACTTAACAATTGAAGCAACTTGATTTTTACATAGTTTATTCCTCTATTTTGACGTATGTTTGATCATGTTTGATCCACTTTTAGAAAAATAGTCTTTGGTCTAGAAGGTTGAGATGGTCCATGCTCCCTTAAACTCCACTTTTTAGCACTTGGATTATAAAAAGGCAAAATGGACGTAGGAAGCACTCTACTATGGAGGAGATAAAATAATTTTCCTTCAGGGATTCCCTACGAATTTGGCACCCCAGGACAAATTGAACTGTTAAAACTTATGTGCCACGCTAGGCTAAGGAGAGGAAGGCTGGTGTCTGGGACTTCAAAGAGAAAGTAGGCAATTCACAGGTAAATGAGGAAGAGCAAACACTGGGTAAACAAATTCTTGCTGGGTCACCCAGAAACAGTGGTACACAAAGGAGAGTCTATCAAACAGATGTTTCTAGGTTTCTCCCAGTCTGTCACGCTTAGTTTGTTATGCTAATGTGACGACTCCTCCTTCGATCAGGTTTTTCTGTCTGAAGTTCTTTAAGCAGATAAGAGGGAAGGTCAAAGTTTACTTCTGAGTCTTTTCTTTCTTAAATAACCAACTTAAAATAATATCCTAAAAAGGCATATTTTGAGATAGCAAACTCTGCTTCCCCTCACTACTCTCAAATGATATGTTCTGATGATCACCCAGAGAAGGAAAACCCGTGCATATTCCAATATTCTGGAAGTTTATGGTGAAGAGACCAACTCAGTGTGATCGTTGTCTGGCATTACACATCTCCCTTACGTCATTGAAAGATCAGAACCATAATGTGTGTGTTGCTATAAAGACCAAATATTGAAAGAACAGGACCATAATGTGTGTGTGGTTGAGTACTAATTAGAGGTACTAATCATCGAAAGATCAGAACCATAATGTGTGTGTTGCTGTAAAGACCAAATATCATTGAAAGAACAGGACCACAATGTGTGTGTGGTTGAGTACTAATTAGAGGTACTATTCATGATGTAAGTTTTACATCTTGGGCTGTGGTTAAGTAGGGATTTGTGGTACTCCTCAAACATTCCAAGAGACAAACCACAGAACACTGAAGGGTGAAAGTTGCCTATATTTTGAGCGATTCTGGTGAGCATTGAATGGTCATACTGCTCATCAGCTTTTTGAAACATCTATTGCCTGTTACTGAAACTAGGACTTAGTAACAGATTAAGATAGAACTCTGTTAAGTTGGCTCTAAGCTCCAGAGGACAGAAACTGTTTCAGTCACTGCTGGGAGTTCAGAGCCTTGGCAGTGCCTTGTACACGGCAGAGAGGTGAAGTCCCAGAGGCAGGTGCTACAGTTGGTTGAGAAGGAGACAAACCCCACCACCTCACTGCCTCTCAGGACTCCTAGTATCGCTTTAGGTTGACCCTGGAATGAATGATGTAGTTACTGATTATCTCAGTCTAACAATGCATATGCTCACTACTTGATCTGTAAATAAAATAGCCCATACAGATTTTCTAGGTTGCCTCGATGTCGTTTTTCTAAGAGTATAAAATCTTGGCTAAAACACATTAAAAGGTATAATGGTTAATTTTATGTGTCAACTTGAGCAAGTTCAGGGATGCTCAGATAGCCGGTAAAACATTATGTCTGGGGTTGTCTGTGAGGGTGTTTCCAGAATAGATTTACAGTTGGCTCTGCAGACTGAGTAGAGAAGATTGCCATGACCATTGTGGGCAGGCATCATCCAATCTATTGAAAGCCTAAACAGAATAAAAAGATGCAGGAAGGGCCAATTTTCTCTCCTTGGGCTGAGACATCCATCTTCTGCCCTTGGACATCATATCAGAGCTCTAGGTACTTAGACCTCCGGATTCTGGGAGTTACACCACCAGCTCCCCTGGTTTTTAGGGCTTTGAACTCACACTGAATTATAACCTAGCTTTCCCAGTTCTCCAGCTTGCAGACAGCAGATCGTGGGCCAATTCCTATAATCTCCTTATACACATATATATATATATATAATGTTCTATTGGTTCTATTGCTCTGGAGAACCCTCATTAATACAAAAGGGAAGTGAACAGATAGAAGTAAAATATATCAAGTTCACCTTATATAATTCAAAAGTTTTTGTTATTGTTTTCCTTTTAACAGGTACTGAATTGGGCCCTTTCTTAGCACCCTAAGGGTAAGTATGCTCTACCATTCTATCCATGGCATATAATTAGTGAAAATACTGTTGTTGACCCATTGTGAGATTAGCTTTACTTTTAAATCCAAAATACCAAAGCAGGTTTATAACAACAAAGGCAGAAACAGGTTTCTTGCTGGTTAGCTTGTAACTTGATTACACATCTACTGTTTGCTTATAAAACAAATATGAAGATTGCTGTACAGAGTCTAGAGTATCTCACATCTAAATGAACTTGATTTCATTTCATTTGAGCCCTGGTATCACTACCATTAGCTCCCAAAAGTAAATTAGTAGGCAAGTTCTTGGGATATACTGTTGTCTTTGCAGGGCTTGGAAAGGAGGAGTGGTGACCAGAATACCTGAAGCAGTTAGATCATCTCACGGTTTAAAAGAAACTGCTTTCATATCATCTTGGGACTAAAATTATCACCATTTTGATGTCATGTTTGTTCTAAAACACTACTAAATACCACAAACACTATGAACAGATAGCTAATGATTCATACTCTTTGTGGCTAGGCAAGTTGAAACTGAGAAAATGAAAACTGGGAATAGATATCAGGTGGTTCAAATATGAATGATGCTGCGACACTGAGATTTTATTTCCGAGGAACATCAACATGTAAGGTAACAATCTCTGGTTAGGTAGGTTGTCTACTTTGGGGAAGCTACACAGATTTGCTCTAAAAGTGGCAACAAAGAGGTTTTGCTGTGGGTGACATGAAATAAATGAAGAAGAAAGATTAATAGCTTTTTTAAGAAGCTCTAAAAAGCATACAAATATTATAGGAACTTTGTAGAGTCTGAAGAGAAAACAGAAAGCAGAACACCACCAACAGTTTATAACACAAAATTAGAAACCAATCACAAAAAGCCAGTTAAAACTTTCAATAATTTAGGGGTTAAAGAAGATATAATAAAACTGACAAACTATTTAGACCTGAATTGCATGCATGTACTCATCAAGGCTTGCGAAATGCAGCTGAAGTGGTCATTTGAAGGAGGAGTGAAAATGAATAAGCTAAGCAATCAGTTCAAAAGGTTAAGAGAATAAAGAGTAAATCCAAAGAAAGTAGAAAGAAATAATAAAAAGTCTGTGAAAATTAATGACATTGAAAAGAAACAATAAAAGCAACAAAAGGATAGGCATTGAAAAATCATTTTTCAACCTCTGGCCAGATTAATCAAGAAAAAAAAAGAAAAAATATGCCATTAAGGTGTAAAAATGGGGACTAACTTACAGATAAAATAGCTTTAGAAGAATAAAATATTGGTATATAACACAAGGAAATACTATAAAGGGTCTTAAAAGAATTTGATATACATCTATCAAACAGGTAAATCTAGAAAAATGCAAACCACAGAAATTTTCCTAGAGTATTTACTCTTTGTGTAAATATTTAAAACATCAACAAAGCAATACTATTTTTTTTTTTTTTTTGAAACACAAGTGTACTAAAAGTATAAAAGCTTGGAGAGAAAGTTACTTTCCTGGGCAAGAAAAAGAATGCAATTAGAAAAGGGTACAAAAAAGCTTTACTGGTATAAGATGTATATGTTATATTTACATATCTATGTTAATGCTGGGTTGTAGGTCCATGCGTATGATATTAGGCTCTGTACTTTTCTATGCTTAAAATATTGTGTAATTTAAAGACATTCACATAAACTATATGAAATTCTGTTCATTTCTTTTTACGTCTCAAAGCAGTAGTTTTCAAAGTATGTCCCTTGTACACACCACCAACACTCGCTCCCCTCTTCAAGCTTCAGCATCACCTGGGAACTTGAAAAATGCAAAATTTCAGACTACCCCCTACACATCTACTGAATCAGAAATTCTGGAGATGGAGCCCAGCATCATGGTTTAACAAGTCTTCCAGATGATTTTGATCCATGCTTAAGTTTGAGAACTATTTTCTTAGAATAATGTGTCTCTAAACTTTGGTCTGGCATCAGAAATCATCATCGGGGATAGAGATGGAGGGGGATGGTATGCTTATCAAAAATGTAGACTCTGACTTCATAGGTCTGGGATGGGGTCCAGGAATCTGCACTTGGGTGTGATTAAAGTTAAAGGCACTGTTTTTGAAGGTAAGTTTAACTTTGGGTGGCCACAAGTAAACCACAATCTTTAGAAAACACTAAAGTGAGGAAGAAATACCTCATTTTGTACCATTCTCCCTCCTTGCTCATTGTATTTCAGCCCCATTCTAAAAAATACTTTAATCTAGTTAATATCCACAAAGAATATAAGCATTTCTTGGTTTCGGCAGTCCTCTTGTCTCTAGAAGTACATTCTGTTGTGATAACTAAGCAAAAAGAAAATCCTTTTAAATTTCACAGTTCCGTAAAATGGTTAAAAACATTTTCCACCAATGTAACAGATAAAATTATAAAGTATTGTGGACAAAGTATTATTCCATTCTTATTTTAAGGATATACATGCTTATATACGCGAACGATGGACAGAAACTTAACAATGGTCATCATGGAGATGTACATGGTTCTTAGAAAGGAAGGTAGAGATATTTTGACTTTTGTTTATATCCTTAAGTTAGAAATTTTTTTGCCGCATATATTGATTACTTTTATATTTTACACTGTATATCATTGATTCTGAGATGCCTTTTTGATGTTTAAACAATCCTGAAGTTGAAATATTTCTTACAATCAATAGTATGTAACAGCTTAATTGGCAGCATTTTTTCTTGTGGTGCATAAATTAAAAGGATGAGTCTTAAAATCAATGGCACCTTAAGATTGGCGGAAATAGTGTACATTAATAGGGAGTGGAGAAATATATCATTTTAATGGTTCGCATCTACTCTTGGATGTGTTTTCCTCAGAGAATTGAAGAAGCAAACTTTTGAAATAGCGTTATATAATTAGGTTATTCAGTAACTTATTGAGCTACTTCTATATACAAGGCGCTGTGCTCTGAGGATGATGGGAGGGAATACAGAAAAGAAGAGTTTTTGCTGTGTCTTCTTCACTGGTTTAAGTGCCACTCGTTGGGGAATGACACTGTCAGTGCGAAATTTCTTTGATGAAAAGCTTAGAAACCTAACCGGTGACTCTCAACTGCAGTTTAACAGCCACAGGATGCAGAGCACGCCTGCACATCTGAGAGGAGGGTTGCCGCTGAACTTTCTTAGAATCGGCCTATTGGACCCACTTTCCGTTGCGGCTCAAAAGATGCGCTCAGCAGATATGCTAAGCAAAATAAGCAGCTTGCTCCTCGCTGACCGGCCTCGGCAGCGAAGCCCTCCAAAGGCCCTTAGTGAGCCGCACGAGTGTCCATTCCCTGTGACCTAAATTTGGCCCAATTCTATTAAATACATGATATATGGTCCAAGAAAATGTGAGCGCCCCTTAACCAGAGCACTTCGCCCTCTGGGCATCCGTTTCGCAGGCGGCGCCGAGTACCGCCCGGGCACAGGGGGTGCCAGCCGCTTTCTCCTGGGAAAGGCTGCAGCTCCGCGGAGAGCTACGATTAAAGGACAGAAAGTTACAGCCGTGCGGCTCTGGGAACAGGGCGATTGATTCCTATCGCAGTCACGGTGTCATGAAATAAGTGTCTGACATACGAAACGTCTAACTTTGCGAAATAAAGGGAAACAAATAAATGTCAAGAATTCTGCCCAAACGTAGACCCCTTCTCATTAGGGAGCAACCTTGCCACACAATATAAACTTTTAAATCCACTAAATTACAAACGCATGAGGCATTTTCAAACTTTCATCTAAATCCCAAATTTCCAAATGGGCCGCAGCACTCGGCCTGCGGTCTGGTGCTTTGCATGGAGACAGGGAGGGCCCGGCCGGGCCGTGGGGACAGGCGCATCCCGGATCAGAGGACCACTGCACAAATATTGGCTCCCCCGGAGGTTAATAAGAGGTCCAGGGGGCAGCCGCCCAGGCCCGCCGCCGGGTTGCAAGGCCCCCGCCAGATTGAGTCATGGATATTTAGCGGGTCAAAGGCTCCCGGAGGAAAAAAATGTCTCGTTTGGATTCCCTCGCCAGAGAGTGGCCAGCAGTCCTGGGCGGGAAGTGGCGACGGGGTGTGGAGGGGGCAGGCGCGCGGCGCAAGAGGGGCTCAGAGTCTCCCAGCCCCGCAGGCGGCTAAGCCGCGGCTGAGGGACGCGTGAGGAGAGAGGTCCGACCACCGC